GGGCCTTTGACCCCTCGGAAATAGTGACCCTGCATCCCGTGAGGGTGGCACAGAAACCATAGCCTGACGCAGCAGAGGCTGCAGAGGGCTGACCCCGACGGCTGTCGCACTCTCCTCTGCAGGTGGAAGGCAGCTTGGTGTGAACACTGCTGCCCTCTGCCCGAGGCCTGGGGAGTTGAGGCCCCCAGAAGCAGCCCTCAGCCTGCAGCTGGTGGGGGTCAGGGGATAAAGACCCCAGCTCCCGCGCTTCTCAGTGAGGCAAACTCTGAGGACCCTCTGAGTCCCTGTGGGCTCGGCTCTAGGGGCCCACGAGGGTGCCAGCTTGATAACATAGCAGCCCCCTTCTCTGTTCCATCCCTTCCTCCTCTCGCTCCCTCGCTCCTCTACTGCTGTTTTTGGAGACCACCTTCTAGATCAGTGGCTTGTGCTTAAGTCCTCATCTCAGGATCTGCTTCTGGGGAAAGCCAGGCACCCAAGGAACCTAATTCGTTCATCCCACAGGTATCTGAGTTTCCGCCCTGAGCCAGGCTCTGACGTAGGCGGCAGTGAGGCCCCAGCCGTGAACAGGACAGACGCAATCGCTGCTCCCCTGGGGCCTAGAGCGGGAGCACAGGTGAACAAATACACTTACAAATACAAATGGTGCTAGTGAGGGACTTCAGAGCACAGATATAAAGATAGCAAGACGCGTCAATTCAGGGAGGTAGAGAAAGAAGGCTGTGTTGCGAAGTCACTTAAATGAGATCTGATGTGGACAGGAGGCAGCTTGTGCATATGTGCGTGTGTGCGCGCATGTGTGTGGTGGGACTTGCTGGTGGTGCTCAGTGGGACACGGGCTGCGCGTCCTGATGTTGCTTCTAGTCTGTGGTCGGCGATAGGGATGCTCACTATGTCAGTTCTTTCCAACCTGATCTATAGATTCAACACAACCTCCGTCAAAATTCGAGTAAGTTATTTGGTGGCTATTGATAACCTGACCCTAAAGTTTGTATGGAGAGGTGAAAGGCCCAGAACAGCTAGCGCAGTATTGAAGAACAACAAAGTCAGAGGACTGATCCTTCCCTATTTGGAGACTTACCGTAAAGCCATAGTTATCAGGGGACTGTGACATCAGTGAAAGGACAGCCATGTAGAAATGGAACAAAATAGCCCAGTAATAGACCCACCCAAATATAGTCACCTGATCTCTGACAGAGGAGCCAAGGCAATTCAATGGTGGAAGCAAAGTCTTTTCGGAAGCACGATGAATAGCTGTTCTTATCTGGGGAGGAGGAAGAGGGCAATGGTCCGGACGACCTAATGGAGGCGACCAGTCCTGGCTGAGGAAGGTGCATGCCTGCAGCCCTCACCTGGGACACGGCAGGCCTCTGAGGGATGCTTGCTTTCACCGAAGGGAAGGACGGCGTGGGCATGGTCAGGGCCATTTGCACCAGGAGAGTGGCTGTTATTTCATTGTCTTTCCATCTCCCTTTTTCCCCCTCTCTGTCAGACATGGTATGTTTGCATCTCTCCCCTTGTCTGGGTGGCTTGTCCTCTGTTCATACCTGGTATCTCTGCCCCTTTACACTGTTTTGGTGTCTCCAGTTGCGTTTGTTCATATCTGTGTGCCTGTGTCTCCCTCTCTGTTCCATTCCCAGGTCTCTCCCTGTCCATGTCCCCATCTCCCTCTGTGTCCCTCCTCTATCAACAACTATTCATTAGGCTGCACCATATACCCCCATCTCTGCTTGAGGCAGGGATACGGTGCGGAGGAAGGCAGCACCATCTAGGGAAAGAGTTCTGAGTCCGCCATTCACACCACTGAGCCCTGCCCCTGGGCTCTGGTGTCGTGGGAGAGGCTTCATCTGCATGACAGAATGAGTTGGAGGGTTTTCTGTGAGTTTGCTGGTGATTGGGTTGCACCTGGAAGGGAGAATGTGGAGCTAAACAGGCGGAGCCAACAGCATGTGCTAATGTCTTGGGTGCGACCCACTGGAGGTTCTGAGATTGGGCCGGTGTGGCTGGAGGACGCAGGGGTCAACCCTGGGCCTTGGTTCTCAGTCCTAACTGCGCTGGGACACCACGGAAGGTTTGAAGCCCAGGAGTGGCATGAGCATTATCTGCATTGCCTAAAAGTGGTTCTGGGGTGACGTCCGGCTACTTCAGAAGACTGAGTGAGATAGAACAGTGGCGTTGGCCAAGGAAGTGGATAGAAGTCAACAAATTCAAGAGCAGTTTAGAAAGTAGAATTGATAAGATTTGGTGATTGTCTGAAGACAATGGTACATTCTCTGAAAAATGTTTTTAGTTACATACACGTGTCATATTTTTATTATAATGTTGCTACAAAGAAAAAAGCTCACAGGCGAATTCAAAGATTCCCTCTTAGGGGTATTTAATGGGGAAAGAGACTAGTTAAATAATTGTTAGACTAGATAGGAAAAAAAATAAAGAATATTTGCTTAAAGCCACTAAACTCTTGACTGGCAGTCAACTGGGTGGGTAAGTAATTTCTGAGAACAAATGTTAATATCTTTCATGTTCTTAGGTAATTGCAAAAGCAGTTATATCAGCAATGCTGATTTCCTTCTAGAAGGCTGTGAATTTCAGAACATACAAAGGGTCTGTGTTTTGTTGCTTGTTTGTTTGTTTTGTGGACTAAAGATGCAGAGAAGAGATAAGACTCCCAGATCTTAGGGTTGGGTGAAGAATGTGGATATGACCCCTCTCTTCTACCTGCCTAAGTTTATAGACACCATTCCCCCCAATAATAGGGCCACCTGTAGTTGATCAGTGGTTTTTAAAACTTTTTATTTTGAAACAATTTTAGATTCCTGCAGACATTGCAATATAGAAGAGAGTTTCTGGGTTCCGTTCTTCCAGCTTCCCCCAGTGGTAATGTCTTTCATAACCATAGTTATCAAACCCAGGAAATTGGCACTTTGCAATATTATGAAATATATTACAGACCACAATTGGTTTTCACTGTTTTTTATATGCAGTCGTTTTCCGTTTTGTTTTGTTTTGGCGTTGATGTATAGTTCCATGGAATTTTATCACATGAATAGAGTTGTGTAACCACCATCACACACAGGATGCAGATCAAATGCTGTTTACTTAAAGTCTTTTCATGTCACTTTATAACTCCGGTCCCCCCCAAAGTACTTTCAATCTAGCTAGATCCTGGTAAGGAAAAAGGAAACTTTAGTTCACTCCACCTCCTCTTCTGTGATTTTACCCTCTGCACCCACACTGCTGTTGCTGCCTGTGAATGGCCCTGAACCCTTTCTGCTCTTGTTACCAAACAAAAAAGGGGTTTTGGCTGCCTGTCACCATGAAATCCAAACTCGTTAGGCAGGTGCTGGTGAAAAAGGAGAGCGGTTTTGTTCAGGTGCTGCACGTTTGGGGAGAATGGCGAACTCCCTGTCTCAAGGATCATCTCCTCAGCAAGACCAAGACAAAGCCAGTGTTCGGAGTTTCTGCTCCAATTTAAAGTCCAGTCTTTTGGAGCCCAGAGGTGGCTGCTGAGCAGTCATCGGGTACCTTAGCTTGTTTCAGGCTGCTGTCTGTTTCACGCTCCCTCCAGGAGGTCATGGGCAGTTGCTAGGTTCTCAAGGCTGCGTGCTCTCGGGAGCTCCCTCCTGGATGCCATGGGCCAGGTGGCTGCTAAGGCCACCTGGACCATGGAGAGAACAGGCAAGTCCACCATCTGAGTGCAGGTCTCAAGCAAGCCAGCTTCGAGCGAGAGAGAGAGAGAGAGAGAGAGAGAGAGAGAGAGAGAGAGACATTTCAAAATGACCAATCAACTTCCGAAACTTTTGCGTGCTTTGGGTCAGTCCTCCTTCCCTTTAATTGCTTCTTTCCCGGGCTAGACTGTCAGGCCTTTTTGGTCTAGCACCTCCCCCTGCTGCTATTTTGATTTTTATGATGCAAGTGCCTGTCTTTTCCTGGTCCCACCCCCAATCTGGTACCAGAGGGATGGGGACAGGGAAGGGCTTTTTGCACGCTCAGTGGAAGAACCTCTCCCTGCCACCATCTTGGGACAGGGGAAGACTTCCCAGGTTCCCACCATCTGTCCACCAGTAACATCATTCCAACCCTGACCCCACAGTGCCTTCGTTCACCTTCTTTCCCTCGTCTGTCTGCTTCCTTGATCCTAGGTCAAAGCCGAGATCTCCTTCCCTCCCGTCTCTATTCCAGGAATACCTCTCTTGCCTGTTTCTTTGTTCAGTGCAAGCACTGAGATGCCTGTACCAGAACTCTTATGGTTGCAAGGGGCAGAAACTCATCTCACATTAATCTAAGCAAAAAAGAGAATTTATTGGGTCATGTAAGTAGCGCGCTCAGAGAGAAGGGGCTTCAAGCCTGGCTGGACCCAGGGGCCCACATTAGTGCATCAGGGCTCAATGTTTTCTTTCTACAGATTCAAGTTCTATCAGCCAGGCAGCAACAGCTATGAATAGCTCTGGCCAAATAAGTCCCAGGAGGATTCTGATGGGCCTTGCTTGGGCCACGTGCTTGTCCCCGAACTAAGCACTGTGCCAGGGTGGGCACCTTGGTCATTCCCAGGGCCCTTGGACCCGTCTTTGAATGATTGTGGTGCGAGGTCAAGAGAGATGGATCAGAGTCATGTGGAATGTGTTCATCCCAGGAAAAGATACCCTTTTGACAGGAAAAAGGGGAGGAAGGGAGAGTCGAGTTTGTCTCTTCATAGCAGGTGCACAGTTCCCTGGCCATCCTCTGGCAGGGAAGGGGGTCTCCCTTGGGGGCAGGTAGAATTCCTCTTTGTTTCTCTTACCTATCGCTGTGGAACTGTTGCAGCATTTAGTGGCTTAAAACAATGAGCATTTCATTTATTTGCACATAGTCCTGCAGCCTGGCAGGGCCGAGGAGCTGGGACAGCTCGTTTTCATTCTGAGGAGTGAAGGGGCCGGGCTGTGTGTCTGGGGTGAGGTGTGTGGCGGCATCCTCCGGGGGAGTGACCTCCAGCTTCTAATTGGTTTGTGTTCATTTTCTTGTAGTGGATATCGTGGAAATAAAGGAAATCCGCCCAGGGAAGAACTCTAAGGATTTTGAGCGTGCTAAAGTAGTCCGCCAGAAGGAAGACTGCTGCTTCACCATCTTGTATGGCACCCAGTTCACCCTCAGCACACTCAGTTTAGCAGGTGGGTGCACACCTGGGTGCTTTTCTCCCTCCCTGTGCCTCGGTTTCCTTCTTAGGACATCTTCCAGTAGCGGGATGCTGACCTCTCCCTTGCCACCAGTGCATGTCTGGGGGCATGATGCTTCTGAATCCTAACCCTGCTCCTTTCTAGCCGTGTGCCTTTGGGCAAGCTAGTCAACCCCTCGGAGCTACTGTTCGGTCAGCTGGGAAATGGGGAGAATCGTAATGCTGGGAGGTCGTAAGGATTATATGAAGGGCCTACCTGGCTCATGCTGAGTGCTAAAGGCAGGTTACAATTTGGTCTAATGGGGCCTGGCCTGCGCTATTTATTCAACTTAACAGATCTGAAGGGACTGTCTTGAAATCTAATGTCTCACTCAAGTAAACATGCACACATGCACATACACACATAGTATACGCATGCATGCATACATATGTCCATGTGCATGCATGCATATGTGCATATGCATGGACAGGGGTCTCTGGAGGTGAGATTTCTGGTCATCCCTGTGAATCCACCAAAAGGCAGGAGAGGCCAGAAGAAGAGATGTGAAAAGGCTCAGGCACTTTGCTCAGGAGCAGAAGCTCGCGGCTACCTGCACATCCAGTCCTAGAACTTACCGTTGGCTTAGAACTGTATGCACAGTCATGGCTGATGAGAGAGAAAATAAATACCATTAAAGTTGACCAAAGTTGAGGGGAGCTTTGACAGGCGAGCAAAGTTGGAGACATTGCATTTAGGGTCAAACAGCTGTCATCGATTTAATTTGTCAGTCATTTTTTTTGCATCGGACATCCTTTGAGCATATGCTCTGAGCAAGGTTGTGCTGGAAGGCAGTGGGGCTCTGAAGATGAATGAGACACAGGTGCTGCCTTTAATGTGTTCATGGTATATTTGGGAGACAGACGTGAGGACGGGAGCTGTGATAAGAGCAATAGTCCAAGCATAATAGAGTGTGCCGCGGAGTATAGAATGTCTAATTCCAGGGAAGTCTTTGCAGAGCAGGTGACTTTGAAACTGGGTTTTGAGGCATGAGGACGATTAGGGATGAAAGAGGGAGGACGGTCCAGGGAGAGGGCATTGTATATACAAGTGCTCGGATGAGGGAAAAAGCGAGCGGGGTATGGGAAATGGTGAGTGTATGTCTGATTGATAGTGAGCGGCAGGTGGCAGAGATGGGGCAGGAGAGAGAGGGGCTCATGGCAGAATCTTCAGGGCTGTGTCCATTTAGAGTCACTGCAGGCTGAGCCAGGCTGCTATTCTTGGTAGGGAGACCCTGAGAACCCAAGCAAGACTTGTAGCCTGGGATACCAGTCTGTCTCACTCCAGGGTCCCTCTTCCAGAGCTCTGGAGTTCAAGGTCAGGTAGTGAGAGGAGCAAGATTTTAGATTCAGATCCCAGCTTCTCATTTGTTGGCTTTGGGACAGGTGTTTTAACCTTTGGAGCCTTGGTTTTCTCCTCATTGGCACGGAAAGAACGAGAGCAGTAAGGTCGGCGTGGTCCTGTCTGGACTAACAAGATACCTGGTGGTTAGATGTTTCATAACTCCACCAGGTGTTTGCATTGCTAGCTGCACTCACCAGTGAGGGAATGAGGCACAGAAGGGTTAAGTATCCAGCTGAACGTCACACAGCCCCGAAGTGCTGCAGTGGGACTTGGAGATGATGCCAAGCTCTTTAACCACCACTTGTTGCCACTTCCCTCATGGGCACCAGCGTCGCCTACTTTGAACCCCTCTCTCTGGCCTTGGTTGGAAATGGGAAAAGCTAAGGTCCGCTCAGGATTGTGGTACAAGTTATTCCAGGCCCTGCATCTTATTCATTAGCACAGGGTTAAAAGCTTAAACTCCTCTGTAAAAAATAGCCTACTCACCACCTCTGCTGTAGGAGGCTCATAGTAGGCACATGGCCTCATCTCAGGCAAAAAACGGGTCTTAGAACCATGAAACTATGAAGGAGATGGATGCCTCCTTGGTGCCCTCCTGCAAAACTACAAATTGGCACAGGCTTCTCCCATCCCCATGGTCTGTACTTGGCTGGGGAGGCGGGGAGCCAGGTATCTTGGCTGTGGTCTTCCCAGGGCGTAATGCAGCATTTCCATTCCTGTTCACCTCTCCAGCGGACTCTAAGGAAGATGCAACCAAGTGGCTCTCTGGCTTGAAAATCTTACACCAAGAAGCAATGAGCGCATCCACACCCACCATTATTGAGAGGTAGTGGCTTTTGCCTGTTTATCTGTGTTTGCCGATTCATTCATTTATTCTGCTCCCTTTATAGCCAACATGGGCAAAGGAAAGAAAAATGAGACCTTTCATCTTGGATGCTCATTGAGTGTCCTGTGTGCAGTAGGTGCCCCATAGCGGCTGTGGACTCTAATGTCTCACAGAAGAGGCTCTCTCAGCATGGGGCCATGGCCTTGGCCCATTGGGGTGAGGAGCGCATTGAAACTGAGACAGAAACCTGCCTTGGTGTGGTTGTATTTGAGGGGAGGACCAGGGGTTTCCTTCTTAAAGGATTTAAGAAGGCATTAGCTGATTCATCAAAGGACATTCAGATGCAAGGTCCAGAATTTTCCACCTCCACTCAGGACTGTGTTGTGGGTGTCTGGCTGGGATTGGTGTGTGAATTACTGTTCTCCTACCCCCATAAACGAAAGCCCTCCAATCTCCACCATTTTGCTTACCAGCTTTTTTGGGACTATTGGGTGTCATCAGGGGGAATTACCAGTTCAAAGAATGTCAGCTCTATGAGCTGAAGGGGCTTCTTGGCTCAGCTAGGGCACTTTGACCACAGGGGGAAACTGCTTTCCAGTCTAGAAAGTTGGAAAACTCTTCCCAGTTTCCTCTGTCCCTGTCCCATAGAACTGAGACTTGTACTATTTTTTAAATTTATTTTTAGAGAGATGGGAAGGGAGGGAAAACGAGAGGGAGAGAAACATCGATGTGTGAGAGATACATCCACTAGTTTGCCTCTTGCACACCCCCAATCAGGGACCTGGACTACAAACCAGGCATGTGCCCTGACCAGGAATCAAACTGGTACCCCTTTGGTTTACAGGCTGCTGCTCATTCCACTGAGCCACACCAGCCAGGGCCAGACTTATACTGTTTTCTAACTTTTTCTTTCAACTCTCTTCTCAGTTGGCTGAGAAAGCAGATTTATTCAGTGGATCAAACCAGAAGAAACAGGTAAGATTCATTTATACTTTCGTGGTTTTCTCCAGATCACTGTGGATTCTGATGTTCATTCTTCCTTTACTGTTCTGAGGGGGTCAGATGGGTCATGTTTCGTGGTGTGGAAAGGTCCTCATGAGGTCAGATTTGACCTGCAATGAGCTAGACGCCATGCTAGGTGCTGGAGGTGGGTAGTGACAAAATCGTCCTGTGTGGAGCCTCATCCCAGTGGAAATTCGAGTCCATCTGCAGAGAAGAATTCTCTGTCACGGAGCGTCTGGGCCTCATCATTTCGGCCCTTACATTTGCGCACCTTCTGTGCCCCCGGGGGACACAGGATCGCCATGGCATCTGCCCTTGCTTGGTGGCCAGAGAGACTGGCTGCTCAGAGGTAAACCAAGTTAAAGAGCGATGGTTCTAATGGCTGGACAGACCTGGGATGGCAATGTGATAACGTGTAATTCAGTGGACTTGGCCTGTTCGCTTAATAGTACGTCTTGGAGGGGTTCCCTGTCAGCACACACAATGCTCTGTGCCGGACACTTGTGTAACAAACGTGGTTCATCCTTGAATGAAGCAGAGTAGTTTCCTTATGGGTGAGAAATCATTTCCTTCTTCATGGGCAGCAGAGTGGTCCCCAGTCCTTTGTTATCTTTGTGAATAATGCTGCCATGAACAGCTTTGGGTCTAGATACCTTTTTGTTAACTTGTGTGAGGAGGCGACAAGCAGGATGACATCCTGGAAGAGGGATACCAGCAGCAAAGTGTTTTCCGGTCTAACATTTCGAGCGAGGTGGTAGCAATTTATCTTCCTGCCCGTGGTGCGGGAGAGCTCGCGATTCCTGTGCCCTGCATCCCTGGGCTTTGGCTTTTGTTAGTCTGATGGGTGAAAGGCAGCAGCGGGTTTTTGCTTAAATTTGCAATTCTTTACTCATGGGTGAGGTTGAAGGTCTTCTTGCCCCTTTTTTCTTAGGTATGAGCCAGTTCTTATTAATAATATAGTGATAACTACCATTTCTTGAGGATGCCAGGCACTATGCTAAGTACATTATACTCATTGTCTCTTTTTAGCCTCACCTCAGACCTTTTTTCAGTTTTCAGATGTTCTCTCCTTTCTTCCATTAAGATATGTCAGTATTATATATGAGGCAATAACTAACCTGTACAACCCTCCCTCTTGTTCCTGAAAGACTTGCCATCTCTAAGGCACCTCTGTGTCATGCCAGTGTCCCCTGTCATTCCCCGATTTCCGAGTTTGGGAATCCTACCACGCTCTTTCTACACACATCTGATGGCCTGACCTGGAAACAGTGACCACGAAGTGCTGAAGAGCTTAGTAATGTTGTCAGGTCAGCCAGCAGCACGCTCCATGTCCCTCTGTCTGTCTGTCGTTCCCACCCTCCTCCTCTCACCCAGCATGCACCGCGTGGACCCACGCCCTGGGCCACGCTCCAGTGTTTCAGACGTGGATCAAATGAGGCCCCTGCGTTGGAGGATATTGTACACACTGGTCTCTTTCAGCCCCAGAGGTGGTGCCTCCTATGAGAGTGTTTCCTTTCTCAGTGGCTGAGGGGTGACTCATAGTTGAGATTGGCACAGGGGTGACAAATGGAGCCTCCTGGGCCCCCTCTTCATGCAGTGGTTTTACTGGGTTGCTGGTTTTGTGCCGAAGTCCGTGTTTCCAACTTCCATTGTCAGGAAATTGCTCTCTCTCTCTCAGAATGGGTTTTTGCAAGTCATTCTTAGAGATCCATCTTTCCATCACCTGGTCGAGAATCTTCAGCAGAGACGAAGTCTGTTTCTGGAACTCAATTCCTTGTCCCTTCTCCCCAGCCTTCCTTCCAGTGGGCAGAGCCCTGCCATCTATCAACATGTGGACTGTCCCACCTTTCCTGTGGTTCTGTGAGGCCCGAGGGAGTTTCTCAAAAGGCACTTTGACCAAGAAGCCAATGAAAGGACAACTCACTTCTGCCAATTTCTCCTCCTTTCCTGTCACCCACTACTAATCGGTTTCCCGAAGGAAAACAAAGGAGAAGCAGAAGCAAAGGAAAGACCCATGGCGACAGGAGGCAGGCTCTGCGCCACCCCGCTCGGGCAGTTCACAGCCCCCAGGTGTTTTCCTTGGCCTGAGCACCGGCTTTCATTTTCCACATCCCTAGAGACAAAATGGTAGCAGCTGGCAGTTGAGAACGTGCTTGGCAGCAGCCATGGTGCTGAGCACTTTATTTCCTTATGGAAGGCTGAGGGAATGCTCTCAGCCTGGTGAGCAAGGGAACCTTCGGTTCATTTCATGTGGACACTGAGGCCAAGAGCAGTTAAATAACTTGGCTATAGGTCTGGCTTGGTAGTTGAGTTGGTTAGAGCATCATCCCAATATTCCAAGTTTGTGGATTCGATCCCCGTTCGATCTGCAGTCAGGGCACATACAAGAATCAAGCAATGAATGCATAAATAGATGGAACAGCATACTGATGTTTCTCTCTCCATCTCTCCCTTCCTCCCTCTTTCTCAATTAAATGAATAAGAAATTAAAAAAAAATAACTTGTCTACAGCAACCCACCTTGTCAGGTGTGGCACCAGGATTTGAGGCTCACTTCTCAGTAGTTCATGTTGCCTTTCCTTTTCTTTCTTTCTTTTTTCTTCTTTTTTTCTTTTTTTAAATTGTGCTCTTAAAAACTGGGAAAAGGCAAAAACCTTTCCTTCTCCATGCTGACCTAAAAAATATTATTTAGTTTGTTTTATTGTGGTAAAGTATACATAACATGAAATTTATCACAGACTTCCCCTCTGTTGAAGGCTCTGGACCAGCTTGGAAAGACAGGCCTCTGTGAAGGACTCGCGAGTCTCCATCTGAGCAAGTGCACACGTCTCTAAGATTAAGTGCATTCACTGTGTGCAGCGATCACCACCATCTGTCTTCAGAACTCTCTTCATCTTGTGAAACTGAAACTCTGTCCCCACTAAACAATAAATCCCCATTTCCTCCTCCTCCCAGCCTCTGCTAATCTTTATTCCGTTTTCTCTCTGAATTTGACTGCTCTGGTTACCTCATGTAAGTGAAATCTTACAGTTTTTGTCTTTATGACTGGCCTGTTGGCACTCAGCATAATGGCCTCAAGGTTTGTTCGTGTTGTAGCACGTGTCAGAGTTTCTTTGCTTTTTAAGACTGAATAGTATTCCACTGTATGTACACACCACATTTTGTTTATTTGTTCCTCTGTTGCCATGGGCAGTTGCATTACTTCCCCTTGTGGGCAGCTATGAGCATTGTCGCTGTGAACATAGGTGTTTGAGTTCCTGCTTCCGATTCTTTTGTGCAATACCCAGAAGTGGAGTTATTGGGTCAGATGACAAGCTGCCATACTGTTTCCATAGCAACTGCAACCATTTTACATTCCCACCAGCAATGCACAAGGGTTCCATTTTTTTCCCACTTTCTGTCCACCCTTATTGCTTTCTTCCTTTCTAATAGCTGTCCCAATGGGTGTGAAGTAGTATCTCATTTTGGTTTTGATTTGCATTTTCCTAATTGCTAGTGGTGTTGGACATCTTTTCCTGTGATTTTTACCATTTGTATATCTTCCTTGGAGAAATGTCTATTAAAGTCCTTGGCCCATTTCAAAATTTCATGTTACGATATTCATCCTTATGGAATTTCCAAGTACCAATCATTGGCTAGGTGGTACGCAGCCTTTTATTTTTCATTTTTACACTTTCATTTATTGTTTCCTTGTTTTAAAATGCACATGGGTTCTTTTTTTTAATCAATAGCAGCACAAAGTTTATTAGATAGCATGACCCAGTGCCCAAGGGAATTTAGGACAACACATTTTTCTGAGAGTTTGGAGAAGGAAGTGAGGACACGTGGGTTGGAGTGCTTCAGGAAATCTTTAAGAATTAAGGAGGAATTTGATCTGGGAATTTAAGTTTGGGTAGGAATTAGATATCTGGAGAAGAGGATCCTCCTGACACCTCTCTGGGTGTTGATCCAGTCTGGCAGTCCTTGTCACTCTCTGCACTCTTCCTATTATTCGTTGGTTGGTAGTTTAAGATGTTCTCTAAGTTTTCTCAAGCTCCGTTGTGTGTCTGTGTTTCTTGTGCCTTCATCTTTTTAAAATCTAAATCATTTTTAATTTTTAAATTACAGTTGATAGAGAATATTACAGTAGTTTCAGGTGTACACCCCAGGAATTAGACATTATATAACTTACTAAGTGATCATCCCAATAAATCTCATACCCATCTGACACCATTGTCACAATATTAATTAATTAATAATAATATTGTTAGTAACAATATTATTGACTCTATTTCCTGTGCTGTACTTAACACCCCCCTGACTATTCCATAACAGCCAATTTTTATTTCTTAATCCCTTTACTTTTTTCACCCAGCTCCCAACCCACTCCCATCTGGCAACTGTCAAAATATTCTCTGTATCTATGAGTCTGTTTATGCTCTGCTTGTTCATTTATTTTGTTTTTTAGATTCAGTTGTTGATATATATATATATATATATATGTTTATTTCCATTTTACTGTTCACATTTTTAATCTTTTTTCTCTTCTTAAAGACAACCTTTTAGCATATGTAATACTGGTTTGGTGGTGAGGAACTCACTCAGATTTTTTTTTTTTTGGCCTGGGAAGTTCTTTATATGCCCATTGATTCTACATTTAGATATCTTTTGCTAGGTAGAGTAATCTTGGTTTTAGGTCCTTACTTTTTATTACATTATATAATTCTTACCAGTCCCTTTTGGCCTGCAGAGATTCTGTTGAGAAATCATCTGACAGTCTTATGAGAGACTCCTTGTAGGTAACTAAGTGCTTTTTCTCTTGCTGCTTTTAAGATTCTCTTTGTCTTTAACCTTTTTTGTTTTAATTACCATATGTCTTGGTGTGGTCCTCTTTGGGTTCATCTTGTTTGGGACTCTTTGCACATCCTGGATTTGTATGTCTATTTCCTTTACCAGGTTAGGGAACTTTTCTGTCATTACTTTTTCAAATAGGTT